GATATATATCGTCATATGTGATAATATGTCTGTAATTCAGCCTCTAAAACAACCTGGGATTTAAAAAAAAAAAAAAAAAAAAAGAGGGGTAGAGGGAAGGGGTCTGGGAAGTTCTCAAGGGAGGGTAACAGGATGGCGGGATCTCGCCATCCTTTTTTCTTTTTTTCTTTTTTTTTAAGAAAAAAAGCTCCATCTATTGGTGGGGAGCAGCACCTGCAGGAAACCGGGTCCAGCGTCCCATATGATCACCAAAAACATTTGATAGAGAAACAATGAATGCTGACATTTGCTTTGTCTTGTCTTTTTTTTTTTTTTTTTTTTTATGCTCCAATCTATTCGTGGGGAGCAGCACGTGCTGGGAACCGGGCCCAGCGTCCCTTATAATGGAAATACATTCATGATTGATGATCATTGATGATAATTTGGAATGATTGAGGATCATTTAGGATGATCTAGGATGATTCAGGATGATAAGAGATAGATGATTACTAATCAGAATGATTGTCTACTCAGCACTCAAATACTATGCTATCCCTAATTTCCTGTATCCATTCCAGCCAACCAATCTCAACTGTGTCTGTGCTGTGCACCAATCAGACCTCTTCCTGGTCTCACACCCCAATCTGGCTTGGTTACAGGGCAGCGCTACCCACCCCAGCTCCGACCATCATCGGCCAGATTGTAGCCATTAGTCAAGTTTGCAGATCGCCTTCCTCCCTCGGCAATCCCAGACCTCTAAACAAACCCTCAAGCTCCTACTCAAACAGGTTACAGGGCACCGCCCCAGCACCGGCCAGCGTCGTTCTGGCGCCAGCTCAACCTGGCCATTACACAAAAAGGCCCAATTAGGAAATTAGCTAAGCTAGAATGCCAACTAGAAATCTAGGATCTGATTTTTTTATTTTATTTTATTTTATTTTATTTATTATTATTTTTTAAAGAAATTGCTCCGGTCTATTGGTGGGGAGCTGCACCTGCTGGAAACCGGGTCCAGCGTCCCTTTTCAAACAGCAATAATACACTTGCTGGAAACTGGATCCAGCGTCCCATGGAACTTCAAAAGTACCAAAGGTCCAACATCCCACCGTAATCTGAAAGACTCACTTGCTGGAAACCAGGTCCAGCGTCCTTTGGCTTCAGTACAGATACTACAGATTCTGAGGACCGGATTGCCTCTTCACCCTGGTCGGGCGCCAGATGTACCTTATATCCTAGCAATATTCTCTGTTCTCAGTCCATAAACCTTTTTTAGAGTCACCTGTCGGCCTACAATCACTCTCCTCCGTACCAAGAGAGTGGAACCAGAACTGAATTGGGTGGAGGAAAAGGATCTGGAAACTCGGAAAGGGGACTGAGAGGGATGGAAGGATCAACATTACTCCAGTCATTAACTGGGAGGATCTGATAATATCAGAATCCTGATAAAAAACCTTTCTGATGATGAGATTTGACGAGTACCCTGACATGATCACAAAGATGATGGATAATGTTGAGGATGCTGATGACTATTCCTCTCCACCCCTCCCCTTCTTCCATGTACTATCCTCCTCTCCCCTCGTTTCCTGTTCTCCTCTTCTCCTCTCGCTGCCTCTGATGAGATGAACCCCGCTATCAGTATGAAGTTCCTCTCAGCCCCAAAGAGAGAGATAACCTCGCCGTTCCCTTCTGCCTTGAAGTAACCGGTTCCCCCAAAGGTGTACCTCAAATCTAACACTCTGACCTAGTCTGCCTCCGCCAGGAGATTATGCGCCCCCATACATATCTCCCAGCCCCAGCCCAGGTCAGCTCCTATCATCTGCGTCTACTCCCTAGAGGGCAATGACCTCCCACCTTGTGTTACCTCTGCGAAGTAGCGCTCCCTTCCTGACCGACCTTTACCAACAAGACCATAACCTATCTGGGCGAAAATAATATAACCACCAACACAAATATAACTACTGATTGATGAAAAAAATAATAAGGAATTGTGATGATGATGATAAAGATTCAGATTGGTAAATAATGATGATGATGATGATGATGATGATGATGGAATAAAATTGGCGAGAAATAAGTAAGGAGCGTTTGACTTGCGATACCCTAATGGCACCGGTGTGGAAGATTGACAGCTCACGATTGCTGTAATGAAAATAGAAGACGGAGAAGTCTGAATGACGATGAAGAAGATGAGGACGTGAAATGATGATGATGACCACCGTCAACAGTGATGGCGACCACCGGCAAAAAAAGATGTGGGTGACGTATATGATGAGCAGCTTTGATATGTGAAGACAACCAATGTTGATGATAAACCAACGCTTCTGACGAAAAAACCTGCACAGGAAAAAACAACAAGAAAAGAACACAAGAATAAAGAAGAGTTCCCTTGATGATGATCTCGCCGACGATCCTCGTGCTGTGATGATGCTCCGAGCTGGTCCAGCGGTCTCCACACTTTGGTTCCACGGGGCTGACTCCACTTTCTTCCACCGACGTTGACTTTGGCCAACTCGCTCGAGCGCTCCAGCCTCTATAAGGGCATTGGCTATGGAAACAAAAAAAAAAAAAAAAATGCTTTGTCTTGTCAAGCTCCATCCATTGAAGCATAGCCTATAGTCTGTGGGCCAGGGCCCCTGCTGGTCTTCATGCTGCCACGAACCCCATTCCACATGTACTATCCTTCCCCAAGCCAATCCTTGCCGAGGTGGGATGTTTTTGGATTCTTGCTGCAGGACTTGCAGGTTCCTTCACCTAACCCATCCTAGCTTCCAATTTGTCACTCGTCACCCCTAATCCCCATTTTATTTTTTTATTTTTTTTGACAAAAGCTCCAATCTACTGGTGGGGAACCTCACCTGCTGGAAAACGGGTCCAACGTCCCCTTTGCGCATTTAGAAGAAAACAGTAATGAGTAAAGCATAACAGTAAGGTCTTGGCTGCCAGCATTGACTGCTCCGGTAAGCCGGAGGGTTAACTGTGCAGCTGGTCTTCCGAGGGTTCTATTCTATTCACCATTGTTGTAATATCGGATGTGCCTCTAGAGTGGTGCCCGGGCTCTGGAGGGACACCGGAGGCCGAGAAGGCTCAGGGGCACGGGGAACATGACGAAAATGACCGTTATAGAAGTACGGTCTTGGCCCAGAAGGGCATGACCTCAGTCCCTTTTAAGGAGAGAGGACAGGCGTCCAGAAGGGGAAGAGAGAAAAGAAACAAAAGAGGCAAAAGGAAAAGGAAAACGAAAAAAAACAAAAAAAAAAGAAAGAAAAAAGAAAAAGAGAAGAAAAAGAAAAGGAAAAAGGAAAGAGAAAGAAAGGGAAAAAAAANAAAAAAAAAAAAAAACATCAGACCGTCCTTGCCTCAACCAGGGCGAGCGGGTGTGGAGGAAAAGGGTCCGGGAAGTCGGATGGGGGGCGCATTGGGAAAGTGGGTTCTATAGTCGTCCAGTCGTTGAAGATCAGGCGATAGTCCCTGTATTCTGCCATCTCCCTTGGTTGCCCTTCGTACTTATCCCCCCCCAATTCCCCAGATAACTATAGCCTTCTTTTTTTTTGAGGAAACTGCTCCGGTGTCACACTTTCAGTTTGAAATAGGCAAGAAAAACACTAGGTTGCAACTTCCTTCTTCTTTTTTTTTTTTCTGTTTTTTTTGTTTTCAAGATTGGATGAGTTCAAAACGGCAAAAAACACTATACATGGCAGCCGTACCACGGCCGTAGTTCGTTAGAGGCAAAAACAGCAGAAAAAACGGGTCCCGCACACTGAGGGAACTACCGGAACCTTAGTCGACCTACCAACGGGGACCTTTGTAGACCACAATGAACTGTGAGTCAGTGTGGACAGAGTAGCACAGCGTGGAGTTTCCTCAACGGCCATATCTGGACATGTTTGTGGAGACGTGGGGTTGAGGAAATACAACACAATTTTCTGCACATCTCCACCGACACGTCCAGATTCAGGTGTTGAGAAAACTCAACACTGTTGGTGGGACTTGGCACAGCCCTGTCGAGCCCAAGTAGAGAGGGTGCAGGTTCTGTTACTGGTGGACCGCGCAGGCTAATTTGAAACCGGGCCCGAACTTGTCCCACACGGACATGGACAGACAGGCACACACACACACACACAGAGATGCACACGCACACACACACACACACACACACACACACACACACACACACACACACACACACACACAGAGTAGCAGTGTGACCCTCGTCCTGCTGCCTGTACCCCTATACAAGCCATCTTTCCGGTCGGGTACAGGCAACATGAGGGTAGCCGACATGACTGTGTACGGGTGCGAATTTGTCCCACGCGGACGTGGAGAGAGAGAGAGAGAGAGAGTGGTGAGTACAGCGGCGGGACACTGTTGAGACATGCCTAGCGCACGAGCACCAAGAGACAGAGGCTCTCAGCGTCTCCACATCACAAGCTGACGTGGCGCCACGCTAGACTCGGGCAAGAGGGGGGAGAGGGGTGGGTGCATACCTGCCCTGTGCCTCTTCTTTTCTGGGTGCCGCAGAGAATGCTCCATAGCTGTCGTCCTTCCTAACATGGTGAATGGCCTAGTGAATGTTGACCCAGGTCAACATGGATGGAGCTGGCGGAGTGCGCCCCTGAGAAGGTAAAGTGTGCATCACATGGCGGGTTGAAATCTTCAAGTAATTGTCGTGTCGCTTGTCCGCTTCTGATTATCGTGCTTTAAAGAGTAACTTCTCACACGAGGGAATCGTTCGGTCAAATGCCCAATCAGTAGTAGGCATCAACTGCAGTCAAATCTTATCTGAGGAGTGAGTCCTCAGCGTTGTGGAGATGATCAGCACCCCCCTTACTTAAAGTGACGGCTGACGTGGCACCGTTCAAACCACTGAGGCTTCCCCGGTTTCGTAATGATGATTAGCACCTCCGTTTCAAGTAAGGTCAGACGAGTCGTGGGCCAATCCATTGGGAAGACTCGTTTCAAAGGAGGGAGGTTGAATGGCATGTATCATGTCTACGCTCTCAGATAATTCAAAGCTAAACAGAAAGGTTCTCCAGCAGTAGTTGATTGACCAGTGGTTATTTATAATTTATACCGTGCGCTCCCGGTACCATTGTGGTAATCACCTCTCCCCCCGGTACATGTTTTTGATAGGTAATGGTGATTTTAAGTGTGTGGACACCCGCATCCTGAGGGAGGCGGAATAGCGTTTTAGGATTCTTCACTCCTACAGAGGAAGTCCACATTGTGCGTCTCGTAGCCAGAATTCTTGACAAAAGACGAAGAACAAAGAGTAGTAGGAGTTGTCCAGGGGGGGGGAGATTTCACGCATGTCCTCCTCCCTCGGTCTCATTATCTGACTAGCTGACGTGGTATAGGTCAATCTACGTGTGGAAAGGGTTCGCAGTTGTAATTCCTGATTGCGGAGAGGGAAGTCAAACCAGAGGGAGGTGGGGCAAAAAAGGGGCATCTAGCCCTCGTATCTTAGATGAAGAGAAAGAAAGAACAATGTTGCTGACGTGGCCAAGGTGAGGGCTATGACTTTATGTCTTGAATAGAGGAATTCGACGCAGAATTATGTTCAGGTATGTTCCTTCATCATTTCGCCTCTCCTCCCTGAGTTATCTCGCTCCCTATGTCCCTGCCCGCCTCTCCGGGGTCCAAGCCAGTGAATGCAATAACCAAGGTTTGAATCCTCTTCCGAAAGGTTGTACTCAGAAGCACACTAGTACCCTTCAACAACTGCAAACCGTATTATTTGCGTCTTGAATCCCCCCGTGCCGAGTGGATAACGAACATCACTTCCTTTTTCTTCCGAAAACACATCGTATTGTAAGAAATGAAAAGAGGGGAGAAATGTTGATGGGAGAATTGGAAATGTAAAGGGAACACAGACACGCGTTCACCCTGAATAATACATCTGAATGAAAAGTGCACCTGTCCCCTTCCCTTGTCATCAATTGATTAAAATACTTCGAAATTTAAAAGATAAATAGACAGACGCTCACTCTGAAAATAGATTTGTGTTAACTATGCACCTGCCCCCTTCTCCTTTTTTTTATTATTGTAGTATCTTCTTTGTCTTTCCCCCCTCCCCCAACCCCAAAATGAAGTTGAGCTTCCGACGAGCAAAGGGTTCAGGCTCAATGCTATTTTACCAGGGAGCAATGCGCTATGCAATGTGTAAACACATCGGTCCAACCCCCTATGCTCGTCCCAGAGCGTCAGTCACCAATCGTAATATGGGAGGTTTCCCAGAGAGTCTGCTTGGAAAGCAGAGGCAGCAAGCACCGCAGACATCAGATTCAGGAAGGACGGTGGTGTACAATGCACGGGGAGACACCCAGTCTGTGGTCACCAACACATTGCACCACACAGAGGAGAGGGGGGCAACACTTCACACAGTCTCAACAACCGACCCCCCGCTGGATCTCATGGAGCTCCCCCCCATGCAACCTGTCACTGCTGCAAAACAGGACGGCCCGAGTGGAGAAAATGCGGCAGAAGGGCGAGATCTGATAATGCGAGAAGGAAATGAAGAAACTGAAGAGGAAATTCTGACAGAAGATGAAAGAATGCAGAAAAAATCCCAACCCTTACAATCATCTTAGAACAAGATTGGAACTGCAAAAGGTACTCCCCAAACTGCTAACCAGGTTACTAATCAACCGTCATGGACGCAGAAGGTGAGGGAATCCCTGCAAAGTAAAACACTGAACATACAACGCTCATTGATTGATCCGGTTGGTTCCTCGGCTGAAGAATTGAAGATTCCTCTTAGGAATCTCTCATCAGTCAGGGCTTACTTCCTTTCGCTCTTCCTTCTCCCCTCAGAACAACTGGTCATCCAGCAAAGGGGTAGAAAGACTCTGATGAAATCCTACCCTCCTGACAAGTTAACCCATTGTGATCTGGTGTACACCAAACATGCCAGCAATTGAATATTTTACGAGGATGCGGCCTACAGATCGGTTAATGACAAGATTAAGTTTATTTGCAAGAGGTTGGAATCCTTGAGGGATGGGTCAGAAAGGGTAACATAATTCTTCCTTATCCAACCAATCACTCCTACACTTTTCACAGTTATGAGTCTTTTTGACAAAGACAAAGTTAGCATGGATGCTTGAAAGAAAATGCACCGGAACCGGTCGGAAGTCAGAATCTACCCGTGGCTTCCCAAAAAGGTAGGTCCAGAAGAGAAGAGGGAGCATATGATGAAGGACTTCTATTGGGTAGAGTTCAGACATATCACAGTCGAAGTCCAAGCAGCTTTCATTCATGACTTTGGTCAGCAGCTCAAAATTGTTGACTTCATCAATCTGCCTTCTTACGTCGCCAAGAGGGACGACTGCTTAATGATGGATCTATACCTCCCCAAAGAGCAACTCTTCTCACTGAACGATATTATTCCCTTCAAAATGGGAGGCAGGGTGTACCAGATTCACACAGCGCATAAATTTCGACCTTGGTGCTTCAAATGCAAGGCCTATGGTCACCTCCACACCAACTATGCCTGCCAACAACACCCCCATCACGCGATCCCCCCAGACATGCGACTCAAGAGGGATCCACAAAGACCGAACAGATGGGTCCCGACAGTCTCCGGATATGAGGGGTGGGTCTATCGTGAAGACTTAAACCAGGTGGGACAACCAGTTAGCTGGACGTAGGAAAGGAGAAGTGACTTCCATAAATCTCCCCGTCCCCCAGCAGGATGGCCCCCCCCTCAATCCCCTCCTCCCCTAGCGCAGGGGCAGTCTCGGCAGTCTCATCCCTCATCGTAAGCCTCTCTCCAGCCTAGGAAACCTGCACACATTAACCCGAATAGGAAGGGTCAGGCATCATCCTCTGAACCACAGACAGGTTGCATGAAGAAAGGTGAACTGCAGGAACCACAGGGCACTAGTGTTGGTGAGAATACCGAGAAGCTTGTTATTAATGAAGGGGGGTTCAAGGAAAATCAAAAACACAAGGGACTGGCTACTCCCCCATCTGACAATTCAAAAAGATCTTTGGGCCCAAGGGCAATGGACTACTTGCCAAAAAAGTGGAACAGCCCCAGAATGGCGCGAAGTAAAAAGAAAAGGAACGACAAAGCCAAAAGAAAACCAGGCTTACACACCAGGACAAACCACGGGTCTGGCAAAGGGTAAGGAGAGGGAGGAAGGGCAAGGGCAGAAGGAGTAACACGGTGAACCTGATGCAGGGGCGGGGGTAATCCCTATGGAAGTCGATCCTTTTAGGGACACCTTCGGCCCAGAACCAATGGACGTTGAACTATTCTCGTCCTGTGCTCCCCCTCTCGTTGTTTTGTCGGCTGATGAAAACGATACTGATATTACTGCAGACTTGGAAACAGTCGGTCTTCAAATAGCTGATTGGTTATTGTGTAATGTAAGAGTTCACCACCCAAGCCTACCCAATGATTCCTGGCCCCAAATCCTCAAGGAATTGATGTTGTTGTTAGAGAATAGTAAAAACCTTGGTACCTTTTTACTACAAGGCCCCCCGTTGGGTGTGACATGGAATGACATTAGTGTGAAACTCCTCTCGTTCAACCATTCGACCCAGGGAGAAATCCCCCGACTACTTGGCCTTTACAATCCTTTTCAGCCACTGGCCCTGCCAGGAAACGAAGCAGAAATTTCAGAAACCTCAGAACAACTAGGCAATGAGACCTCCCCGCCTGTTAATATCCGAGAGGAAGGAACTCAACCATGTAGGGGGAAGGTTAGTGGCCCATTGCAGGAACCTCCTCAGAATTCACGAAACGCGCAGGCACAGTCCCGTCAGGAGGAGGCCCGAGAAAACGATCAGAAAAATGAGCCCCGGAAACTTTCAACTTTTGATACTCAGTTCCCTAATCAGGTGTCACCTGCTAATACAGGAATCAATTTATTGGACGCCCAGTCCAATGCCCCAACCAATCCAATGGATCCTTAATTGGCAGAACCAGAAGCCCAGTGAGAGGAGCCTGACCCTCTCAATCAGACTTTCAAGGAGGTCATTTCTGAACTTACTAGGGAAAGGAAATTTTTGCAGATTCCAGGAATATCTTTGGGACTTCATGACTTAATGGACTTTTATCAGGTTGTTTGGGTGACTAGACAGATGGGAGAGTTTGTGGGGCAAGGTATACTGACACTGCTCTATAAAAAGGGCGATATATGCAATATTCGTAATTATCGGCCCATCACACTCCTCACTGTCGTATACAAACTCATCCCAAAAGTCATAACGAATCGCTTAAATAAATACATAGGCGGCATAATCCACCCCTCCCAAACAGGTTTTATCCAAGGAAGAAATATCCAAGGCAATATTCTTCTAATAAATGAGTTAGTTAAACTCTCTCGTCAATCTAAGCACAACGCGACCATTATGTTTATAGATTTCGAAAAAACATATGATCACGTGATTCACGTCGACTGTTTTTTTTCTGGATAAATGCCTAGAGAAACTCAATTTTGGCCCAAACTTTAAACGATAGATTAAAATATTGCATAATTACGCAACAACAAAAGTGATGGTTAATGGGAATGTGGCTCCCCCTATAGCTCTACAAAGATCTGTGAGGCAACATGACCCAATTGCGCTACTCCTTTCATAATAATCATGGAAGCCCTGACTTTTAACCTCTGACAGCACAAAGATATCAAGCGTATCCAAGTGTCATCAATATCAGAGAA